TTTTCCTTAGACTATGGATTTTGTCCCTCCTCGGGTTTTTGTCATAGCTTAGGGTTTTTTTAGAGAGACTTACTACTTATGCAAGTTCCTACCTTATTGAGAATAAACGTTGTTCCTTGGAATTAGTGCCGACAAGTCGACTTCCTCAACTTCTGCATGATGCTAAATCTACCTTGAGTATTTAAACACTTAAGGGGGAGTGTTGTAAACATTCCTATTTTAAGTGTGATTGTGTAAATCCTAGATTAGATTTGATTCTATTTATCTTTTCCTATTACAACTTGTATTACTTGGGGAAGAAGGAATATCTTCTCTTCTTTTACTACTATAAATAAAGGCACAATGTAGGAGGAATAACAACACACATTCCCCTACAATTCTACAAACACATCTCTCTTCTCCTTGCCGCCTGCCACCCTAAACTTGTCAGATAAAATAGGCCACAACAACGGTATATTTTTGCAGAAGTTGTGTACAGAAACTTATTAATAAACTTTGTCATAAAAATTTACATATTCAGCCATTGGTAGCAATGCTATATGGATGGTGTTACTTAGGAGATAGGATCCTCACCGGATCCTCTTTATGAGGATTCCAAGGATTCTTTAATCATGTTCGTTCATTGTACATCGTGCGGTCAGTTTTTGTTAGGTACTGTTTGTGCTCAATTTTAAATAATATAATTTAAAATAATTTTTGACCGCACGATGTACGATAAAATGACAAGATTAAAGGATCTCTGGGATCCTAGATCTAACGAGGATCCTGCAACGTTACTTAGAACCATCATGGGTTCAATTCCCCAGTACAGTTTGATTATCAATTTTTTTTTCAATATTTGTTTTTACCTTCAATTATTCCCAGCCTAGATAAGTAGTTAATAATTTTTTTTAATTAAAACAATAATGTCACATCCTCTCCAACATTGCTATCATGAAAAAAGACATTATTGTGAAAATATTTTAAAGAAAAAAGTAAATATATAATAAGTTAGAGGCTACATGAAGCCAAACCCTAACAAGAAAAAGAAAATTATTAGAAACAAAGAATCAATTAAGGGAACTTCTAAGAGAAATGAAAATTTGGAATCCCTGAAAGATTATAAACAAAAGCTGCAATTGCACACGGCGGACAAGAATCCTACCAATGAACCCCAACATGATTAACACCATAGTTTGCCAAACAATTTGCCACCTGATTTCCTTCTCAATAAATGTGAGAAAACAGAACTTGCATGGAAGAGAGGATGGTACAACAATTTGTCCAATCAATCGATAAACGCCAAGGCACCTAAGAAGATCCATTAGAAAGAAAATGCATTGCTAAACAAGAATCATACTCAATCCAAAGAGAATGCCAACCCCTCTCCAAAGCCATATAAACAACATGAATAATAGCTTTAAGTTCTGCCTCCAAGGCAGTAGCAATACCAAAAAATCTGCAAAGCATCCAAGACAATGACCCAAGTGGTCACGGAAAATACCACCAAAACCAACCATACTCGGAGAACCACGAGCCGCACCATTAGTGTTAACTTTAACTTGAAAAGAATAATGAGAAATCCAAATAACCTCATGAATTCTAGGTGCCCTTGAAGGCCTTCCATGCACTCCAAGCATTCTAAGAATGCAAAGCTCATCAATTGAATTTAACATAAAACCCAGATCCCAAGAATTCGCCTCACAAACTTGCAAGAAAATGCCATTAACCAACTGATCAATAGTAAACATTTTTCCTTCAAAATGGATTAAATTTCGAGCTTGCCAAAGTGTGTAAAAACCTGCCCCAATCATACCCCACCACAATAATTGAAGTTGAGTACCGAAACCACGGTGCAAAGGATAAGAAAAAATGATGTGATATCGGAGAATAATGTAGAAACTTGAAATAAGGCTAAAACCCTATGCCAAATTTCCAAAGAAAATGAGCACTCGAAAAATAAATGTTGAGCTGACTCAATAGCCTTATAATACAAAGAGCACCTCGACACAAAAGAGAGAATTCCTGATGAAGCAATAAATCATCAGTTAAAAGTTTACCGTGAAGAAAACGCCATAATAAAATAGAATTACGTGGTCGAAAACATCTACGCCAAACTCATCTATTCCAAAGAACAATTAGTTTATCATCCAATCTTGACAACGGAAGCTTAATTGTCAAAATTTCGGACCATATAGCAGAAAGGGTGGCACTAGTTATATCAATAGGGCAAAACCAATTTCCATTATGAATGAAGTCTGAAACAGGTGCAAACAACAATTTACCAAGAGATTGCGGAATATCCAACCTTTTAAAAATTGAATCACCAATCCAATTTGCATGCCAAAAGTAGAAGCACCATTGCCCACCAGCCATTTGGAGTTCTGACTAATATCTACAAATAAAGGTTGCAAATCACGCCAAATAGAAGACCATTTATAATAAGAGCACACCTGATTGGCACTAGTAAAATATTGTGCACGAAAAAATCTAGCAGTCATGGAAGAAGTAGTCACAAAATCCCAACATTTATAAATAATAATAATAATAATAATAATTAAAAAAAAAAAAAAGAATGTGCTGAAACAAAAAACTTATTAATAAAGTTTGTCAAACAATCACGCTCAACAAAGTAATCTCATGATCTGAAATGTTTTTTGTTTTTTGTTTTTATTCAATGATATATTTTCAATAATGAGGTGGGGGAATAAATTAGTTTCGAACTCGCCGTCCATGAGATTTGAATCTAAGATATCTTCCTTACAAGTAAAAAAGAATACCACTATATCGTAATACTAAGTGGTTCCGAACCATTCATTAATTTTGTAGAACATCCTTCAAATAGAAAATTATTGAGCCCCACTGTTAACAGTTCATGGGACATTGATAAGAATAATTGTCACACCCAGATTCCGAGATACTTCCAGGACCAACACGTGACGTCAAAATGTAACTATACCACAACACGCCTCGCTCCCAAGGCATGACTAAAACGACCCAATAGTTCAACAACGCGATATCATTTCCTTCTATTTTATGGCTGCATGTAACCTTTAGGTTAGATTGCCTACGTACTAAACAAGGGGATCAAGCCATTTATAGTTCACATTTTTGTTAAGCTTGAAATTTCTCATGACATCACTGGACAAAGACATAGAGTTCCAAACAACTCCTAACATGCGTGATGCATCAATATGTCATTTCATCATTCACATATATCACAACATTTTCCATCAACAAAACCACAATCAACAACATATAACATTTCAATGAACAAGCTATGCACAAATTACCCTTAACCACATTGATTAACCAATCAGATAAAAATAATTCATAAAACCATACTTTATAAAATCATAACTAAACTCCCTGGAAATCCCAAAGGAATCACACAACATCCATTGGCTTTTCTAAAACGGTTCACAAAGATTCTCAAATATTTCGTTCAGAAATATGCTAAAAAACAAGGGTTAGAGCAACACAATTCAGCCAAAGCTTATACATCCTGAGTTTTCGTTTCTAGACCAACTTAAGGGGACCCAAAAAGATTCCTAGGAATTTGGTTCCAAACCAATTCAAGGGAACCAAAAGACAATTGGATTCCGAACAAGCTCAAAGGAATCCATTGAAGACAGGGTTCCAGACCATTTAACCGAACTAGATAGGAAATGGGATTCCAAACTAACTCAATGGAATCCAGATAGTGGAGGGATCTAGACCAACTTAACTAAACCAAATAGGGAATGAGATTCCGGACCACAACAGAATCCTAACAGATTAAGGTTCTGGACCAACTCGCAAGAACCAAATATGAAATGGGATTCTGGACCACTTAATGAAATTAAATGAAGATAGGTTCCGGAGCACTCAACGAACCTAATAAGAAAAGGGATGTCAGACCGTTCAATGAAATCCAATGAAAATAGGAGATGAGATTCTGGACCACTTAATAGAATCCAACAGAGTTAGGGCTCTGGACCACTTAACGGAACCAAATTGGAAGACGGATTCTGAATCCTAACAGAACACAATTCTGGACCACTCAATAGAATCGTAGAGGAAGAGAGATTTCAGACCACTCAACAGAATCTAGATGGAGCAGGATTCTGGACCACTCAACTAAACCCTAGCGGAACACGGTTTTGGAATACACAACGAAACTGAATAGAATTTTAGGAATATAGTTCGTAAAAACTCAATGAACTAGACATGATAAGAGTTCGATGTGACAACTGCCCTTGACATTAGGTTAACGATCCTTTACTAACCTCTCGTTTCACAAACATTTCAGGTATGTATAGCAAACCACATTTCATAAAAATAGATCTATAAATGAAAAAGCAACGATTTTGCAGAAAACACATTTTATAAATCCATGCCATATCCATTAAGTGTACTAGCATGAGAATTTTCAGGGTATTAACAATTCCCACATATTTTAAAGTCACTCAAATAGACGTATATGTTCTAACGAATAATTCTATTATAGTTCCCAATTCCTCATTTCTAGCAATCGGACATTACCGTTACTCTCATTTCTAAGCCTAATAAACACATAAAGCCCGATAAGATGCCACTTGCATGCAAACCGAGATACACATCCCCCGACGTTCATCTTGCATTGCTTAGATGTTTCATGTATTTGCAGACTAATCGTTGGTTGTATACATTTTTTTTAAATATAAGAGTGTTAGCGATAAGGATCGGGTGACAGTAATAATGTATAAGTAAACTGAAGTTCATTACACGTTCTATTAATCAAATGCCAAGATGAATGAATTATATATACAAACAAGCGAAAAAATTACGATACTCTAGGAGTATTAAATGGTCCTCCATTTAGATCAACTTCAACGACCATAGCATCGCCCATTAACATGACAAGGGAGATACAATTTTTTTTTTTGGGGGGGGGGGGGGGGGGGGGGGGTGGTGGGGAAGGAGGGTGGTTGCAGAGTTAAAATCTTGAAGTTGCATGGATGTATAATTTGAATGAAACCCTAAATTCAACGAGGGGAAGATAGAGACCAATCATCTGTTTAAATAGGAGAACAAGACAAAGCAGTATGGGGCAAACCATTAATGCTATGTACATGGTAAAATGTCAAAGATCTTTCATCGAATCATTCTCCAATGTTGTCTTTGTATATGCAAGAGAGAGAGAGGGTAAGTAGTCTCATTCAATAAATTAGCCAGATAGGTAAGCTACAACATTAAACAGCCAAACCTAATTACTTCCTAACTAGAGAAAAGGGAAAAATCATCAGGAGTTGTTGTATCTGTTATTGGTCGTCTTAAGCTCTGTTCTTCTTCTACTTGCAAATACTTCTCCATGTCTCATTAACCAGAACCTCTCTATTTCTTCCGCTTTCCGGCCTGGAAGCCTCCCAGCTATAAGAGCCCACCTGAGCTATATACAAGTCTAGTTAGAACTCTGCAGAACACTTACATATTTTCCACTAGTTAAGACCAAAATAAGAGAACAATCAATGTATGATTCTTGCACAATCATTTGTGGATAAGTATATGATTCTTGCACTTGCACATTGTAATAGTAAGAGAATTATATATTCATGGTTCTTAATTTGTATGTTCATGTCACTGTTCTAAAAATCCCCGCCTAGACTGCCTCGGCATCCGCCTAACCCGCCCAAACCTGTCTAGGCACTCACCTAGGTTGTGACTCACTTAGACAGAAAATAAATAACTTTCATTTTGCATTTTATTGTTTTCAATAAATTGTAAAAGACTTGTTGAATACTTAAATGAACACACATTATATGTTTGTTCCCCATGCCTTCATTATGTTCCATTACTTCATAATATATATGTCGTTCTATTTTATAGTTTTTGCTGTAATTATATACATTTTTAAGGATAAAGAGACATTTGTTTACATGAAATATAATAAATTTACTTAAATATGCCTAGTCTCCTTAGGCACTAAGCCCCAACCTGCCGCCTGACTGGCACCTAGTGTCTTTTAAAACCTTGGTTCATGTAAATTGGTCCAAAGGTACTTCTGTCCCCTTTATTGGAAGAAACTCAAAATTTGAATACTCTCTCTACAATAAAATAAGAAGTTACACAACAAATATTTTGAAATTGCTATTAGACCCATTGCTTTCAGTGTTCTTTCGAACGATACAAGTATACAGGGATTCTCTGAAGGATGGGGGTGAACCAACTTAGGCTCGGAGGGGCACGTGCTTCTTCTGACCTACGGTTATTTTCCACTCTCTCAGTTAAATTGGTGGTCGCGTAGTCAATCAACCATGTTAGTGCTCCTCTCTAACTCTAGGGTGGAGAGAGATGATCCCCTAACCAAGATGTCTCCTTCCACCCAAAGTTCTTCTGCAAAATCTGCGAAAGAGCAGGGTTCTAACTTCTAAAGCATTTTCCTTAGGATTATGGATATAAGAGAACGAATTTTTACCTTTTGTCAACGAGAAAGTATGTTCGAACTGATGATCTCTTAATATTGATAAAAAAGTCACTAGACGAATAAAACTATTAAATGGTGAAAAAAACTTTGTACTAGGATTTTTTCCCCTCATTGTTTCATCTCTTCCTTTCACATTCTCTATCTTGTCTGTCTTTTTTATAAAAAAAATTAATATAAAATGTTAACGTAACTTAACCATAACCCTTCAAATAGAATCGGAGAAAAGACGAGGAAAAAAAAAGAGATGAGATAATCCTACTCCTAAAACATTAACTATGGTGGGTTGGTTGCGGTGGAAGTACTATGGTTTTAAAAACTCTTGCCTTTCTCACCAAACCATGGGACATAACTTTTGCCAAAAAATACTTAAATAACAATCGCAATCACATGATCAAGAACTATGGTGACCACATTTCAACAACCAAAATGATCTGCTTCTCATATATTTTTTGCCTAAAAAGGAAAAATAAACCCAGACTTCATAAGGGTGAAACTCAGAAAGAAGATAATTTGGCACATTCGTACTTACCTGTCTCCGACGAGCTTGTACATTCTGCAAATGAGATCTTCTTCTTGTTCAGTCATGTTTATGAACTCCCACTCAATACTGCTCACCTCTGCAAATTACATGCAACAAACAGATACAGAGACTTTATATATTGGAAATACCCAATAATGTATGAAAAACAATGGTGTATCATGTTAAAAAATTAAGTGGAAAAGATCAAAGAAATTAAGCCTAAGTTTTTGCTTCTTTTTTACTTTTTTTTTTTGAAAAGAAAAATTAACCAAAAGAAGAGTGAAATTTGAGCAAAAAGAAGAAATGAAGAAAACCCATTAAAGATTGACCAAAAAGATGAGAACCCAGAAAGTTATTTTTGTGAAAGCGAAAGAGTTGGTGGGTTTGCCTTCAGAGCAAGAAGTGCTAGTCTTGGCTTGTTTTCTGCGGCGTCTGTCCATGCCTTCTTTCTTCTCTTTTCTTTTCAAAAAGTTGGTGGTAGTGAATTTAAGAGAATTTTAGACCGAACAGAGGGAGAGAAAACCCAAGTAAAGTTTGATGAAGGACAAAACTAACAAGAAGAATTGGATTTTAATAGTTTCCCAAGAGGGATTTCAGGAAAAACAGATTCCTGGATTTTTAAGGAGCTTATTTTTTCAAAAACATGTTTCTTGAGAGAAGAGCTTGAATGCTTTGGAGAAGAAACCAATGGAAATATGGAATGGCAGGTCCTACCGAACAAACAAAATATAATTCTGTTGACTTGTAGTTGTCCCTGGAGTCTGTAGACAAGAGTTTACAAGGTCAATGGGTTGTTGAATCCGCTCTTGTTAGCTCTTGTTAGATTTACGTCAATACCCTTTAAATTGTAGGTGTAAATCTTTATTTTCTTGTGGTATTTGGGGCTTATCCGTATTTTGCCAAAGGGCTTTCTGATGGGTAATACTTATACAAGGTGATGTGTCACGCTCCCAAGCTAACTAGTGCCGCATAATTCCCCAGGGTGAAACATGAATGGCCAGATAATTGGAAAATAATCACCATTAACTAATTAACTGATAAGATGTTACTCCTTCAGGTATTAGTTAGTAGTCTGGACATCATTAATTAACACGTAATTCGATGCGGTTCTTGATTAGCACCATATCTAGTTAATCGGCTACTAAATTTATAGAAGTCTGATATCCACACATCCTATTTTACTTTCACACATTTTTTTTAATTTTCAACCGTCGAATTGGATGAACTGAAGAAGATCCACGGATAAAAATTATCAACAGATGTATGAGAAGTAAAATGAGATATGTGGATAGCACATCCTAATTTCTAACAGTGAAGCTGTCTTGACAACTAGTTATTGAAATTGACTGGCACACAAAATACCTATAAGCACAAAAAGACTACTTGCTAGAAAAGCTATCACAAAGAGAATATGTGCTCCCTGGGTTTGTATTGTGATCACATGAGGTGTGTCGTAGTTTGTTTCTTTTTGTTTTACATTCGTTGAGTTTGTGTTTCGTTTTGGTATTTTCTTTAATAGGTGCATATATGGTGAGGTTTTTTGTATGTTACTCCAAGTGAAATTTTGTGTTTGTGTGTTATTGGCTACTTCTGAATCTATTTCATTGTTTTGGTAAATATGTGATGGCGTTGAGCACATAATTCATGTTGATATTAACAATAATTCTTCTTTCGCAGTTTCTCTTTGGAGACAGCGATGCTTATATTCAAAGATTGTTATCTAGTTAGCTATGTTATGAGTATTGTATGCATAATCTCTCAAGTGCCAGTTCTCCAAGTGCTTGACTTTCTAGTCAAGAATAGAGTTAATGTTGACTTTAGAGTGCCGACTTAATCTAGTGAGTTCGGTGATTGATGATTTTAAGACTTTGATGTGTTTCTTTGCTTCTTATCCGATTCGTCATACCCACAAATTCATCATTATGGTAGCTACTAAATTGGCCAAGTTGGCTTGTCTAATACATAAGTCGAAGCCCTTTGATTTGAGGATCTCCTGAATGTTATCCGTAGTGTTCTTTTTTATATTTACATTATTTTTTAATGTTATAATAAAACTACTATCATTTCGCTTAAAAGAAAATTTCTATCATTATATATAGTGGGGACAATATCAATGGTATTAATGGTAAACTGCGGCTAGTCCCTCTAAAACTTTAACAAATTTTCAGGTGTCAGCTAGTGTATACAATTTTGTATTTGATTTACTATATGACTGGAGAAATGCTAAGGAGACTCTCAAAGTGAGATTCTCCACCACCTCATGTTTTCAGAACATTGGTTTATAATGAAGGCACGAGTATTGTGCCAAAACCATGAGGTTACAGGGACTTCATGAAAAGTCCCACTTTTAAGAGAGTTTCCTTAGCGTTTCTCATGTGACTGACTACAAATTCAATCACATAATAAATGAATCAAATACAAAGTAGTATACACTAACTGACACCTAAATATTTGTTAAGGTTTTAGAGAGACGGGAAGCAACCTACCACTAATAGCATCGACATTGTCTTCGCTAAATCACCCATGCAATTGTTGATGTGAAATTTTTATATAAAAGACCTCGTTATAATTAAAAGTAAAATTATTTGATACAAGTCTTGTGAGAAACGATGTGAGATTGTTTGACTTATTCAACAAAATTTCTCCTACAACAGCCACGCAATTTGATACTGTTTTAATCCAATTTGTTTGTGTAAATAATCTCTCTTTATTTCTTTTTCCTTTTTTCTTCCGGATGTTAATCTGTCAAATGTCTATACTGTTGTAAGTTGTAATCATGTTTTTTTATCCTAGTCAAAAGGACCAAAGGAGGGTGTGGTTGGCTGTTTTTTAGTTAAAACTTATTATCCACTTTGTTTGTAGTGTATTTTTGAGTAGTTGATCTTTGTTTTATGGCAACATCTTTTCCAGAAAATTGTACACTAAAAAAGAAAAAAAAAATAAAAAAAGTTATCACCTTCATATATATTAAATGTAGTTTACTTCTACTCTACTTTTTCACTCAGTGATTTAGTCGCTCCCCCTTTTAGCTTCTTTCTTCCTACTAGCTGACACATTGGGGAGCCAAAAAAAAAAATTGCATAAATCATGATAAATCATTCAGAAGAGAAAAACCAAAAAAATGATGTCTTTCTTGTTTGTTCTATTTGGTGAGGCCATCACTTTCAAGAATTAAGTATACAAAATTATGAATTTAATCAACAACATTTGATTCTGAATGCTGGTCACACTCTCAGTCCAAAAGGTAAAAATCAAAAGCATATCCAGTAATCTGCAAAAGCATTGTTGTTTTCACTCAATAGGAAGGGATTTTAAATTTTACCCAAAAGTTGAAATTTGGTAGGAAAGTTGATAAAAGTATAACCCTAAGGTTTGTGCATCACTTTGTAAAGTTTATACATTATTAGGATGCAGACCATACACAAAACTATATATTCCAAAATGTCTTTATAAAAGTTAAGGGTTAAACGTAGAGAAGGAGAAGATTCCTGCATGGGTGAATGTTTGGTAGGACAATTAGAAACGTCAAATGGGAGAGGAAAAAGCCGTATTAACTTTTAAGATTGTCTTATTCCTTCGATTTTATGCTGGATCTTTGTGCAAAGAACATCATAAATATAAAACCCTTGGTGGTTGGCCTTGAAAAGGGCTGCCTAGTGGAAATCACATTCGACAGCTTTTGCAAATCTTAATTTAATACCTTTCTGAGCCTTTTGAAGTTAAAAAGAGTCCTTGAAGTAGGTTTCTTGATGCATTTTCATGTTCTTGTTTCGAGCTCAGATCTTCGTGTTTGTTCTAAACCTACCTAACTGACACCAACATGTTTTTTCATCTCATCATAACTTCATATGTAAATTAATGGATAGCTCTAAAAGTAAATCTGTTCTGGTTTGAATTTTGGAATTTGGGTCGAGGGAACATAAATCAAGAGGGAGGGCTGATGGTCTCGGCCCAATAATGAATATTTAGTCCGAGTGACGTTTTCAGCCTAGAAATGAAATGCCAACGACTCGATGGAGTCCTAGTGGAATTGGGTTGCTAAAGGATCAGATCTAGGTGTGGCTCGGTTGAGTTCAAGATGAATTAGAATTCTTAAGGATCAGGATTAGTTTTGATAAGATTCGAATCATTTCAAGAATCAAAGCTTGTGGCTGATCAGATAAGAAATGAATTGGATGCATAAAGGGACTAGATTTAGAATCCTAGTTCTAGTCGATGTGGTCGAGACCTGATAGAGATAGTCTCTGTAGAAAAGGGGTTTGATGAAACAACATCAAGAATATCCAGGTACATGTTGAGGAGTCACAATTCTGATAGGGTTCTACCACTCAGCAAACTTGTTCATCACGAAATTCACCCCTATAAATAGAAGAGGTTTTGTAATGTAAAGAGGACCTTCAAAACAACACACAAATAGATGTTCGACTAGAAACCCTCTCCCACCCTGAGAAAATAACTAACTGCTTCACTAACTCTCGTCAGCATATATTCAGTTCGGTTGAACATCACTGAATTAACAAAACGACGACAAATGGAGTTTGGTTGAACATCATTGGAGTTGAAGAATAGTCGATCTAGGAATACCTTCAATTTGATTAAAAAACCCTACTTCCGTTTCGACTGATTATTTATTCCAATTCTTAGCTGGCGAAGAGTCTTTAATTCTTTCGCCGAACGAGGTCACTTCATTGGCTTTCCCAGCGATGTGAGTTGTTCTATGATTGATTACTCGTAAGTGCATTTCAGAGTTCGAAATTTGGATGGCCAAACCACTTTTACCTTCAAGATGCTCATCTCCCTTGAGTATCTTTATCCATACAACTTGATTCATGTTCGGAGCACCTATATTTTCACCAATTAATATAGAGTGGAGGATGCAAACCCGGTGCAGAAGATCTTGAACTTGGTAGCGATTTGCATAACCTTATCTTCAGATTTTATAACCCTAGGTCGAGAGGCCTCAGCCGAAGTCCTTGTCTTCAGATTTGCATAACCTTATCTTCAGATTTCATCACCATCACCATCACCACACCACCACATTCATTTTACTCTCCCGACTAAACTTGGCAACTAATTAGCATGCCAGCATCAGCAATCATTCACAACTCGTAGATTATTTCGACCTAGTCCGTATAATTTTCAAGGTTAACAAAATCAGTGAAAGCGAAGATTGGATTGCAAAATAAAACATAATTACCAGAGAATGCCAAATGCAAGTACACAAGTGGATATAAAAGATTTGATAAAAAGAAATGCACAGAAGAACATATCACTTCCCTAAACTTGATTTGTGAAACATATGTAAGATGAAATTCACTCCTAAGGTTCTGTTTAATAATCATTTGGTTTTCAGTTTGTAGTTTTTTATTTTATAGTTTTTACTTTTTTGAAAACTAAAATCTTGTGGTAATATTTTCAGTTTTTAGTTTTAAAAAAAATGAAAATTGAAAACCAAAAAGTGCAAACTCAATAGAAAATTTTGAAAACTTC